CACATAGCACATGCTGGGCTAATCTCCACTCTCTTTATAATGAGGTTCGTTGTTGTGGGCAATATATTATTCAAGGCTCTCCATAAAAATGTTTTCCATCTCGAGGGTACTCTGAGCTTCCATAATTTGGGCCATTTATCAAACATCCCTGTCGTCTGTACATAATTTCCCACTATTTGCCTGTAACCGCTTTTAACTGAATATTCACCTGTTATATCACCATGCCAATACCACATATCCTCATAATCTGGTGCCACTGGTATTTTCAATATCCGTGTCACATCCTCCGGAATGAAAATATCAGTCAAAATATCCTGGTCCCAAGCCGCCGTTTCTTGATTTATTAATCCCATTACAGTTGCCTGTGCCAAATAGGGTGGTTTGTCAGTGATTATTTTCGCATTATTCTCATCCTGAAGCCATGGATGATCCCAGATAAGAGTTCCTTTCCCATTCCCAATCCTGCGCCTGACTCCCCCACAAATTAATTCCTGTGCAGCCATAATACTACGCCAGCAGTAACTTGGGTTATTTCCTATACAAGCATCAAAGAATGTCCCTTTAGGATAGTACCTGGCTTTATATATTCTGGAAACCAGTGATTCAGGTTTGGTGAGTAAACGCCAGGCCTGTTTCCCCAGCATAGCTAAATTAAAGGCATGCAATTCTTTAAAGCCCAATCCCCCATACTTCTTAAGGATGCATAATTTATCCCATGCCTTCCAATGGATGCCCTGATCATCCTTAGATCTCCACCAGTAACGATTCATAGCTCTCTCAATGGCTGTGCAAGTATTCATAGGTAGTAAAAAGACACTCATAGAAAAGGTGGGCATAGACTGTGCCACACTTTTCAACAATACTTCCTTACCCGCCTGTGAAAGCAATTTCTTATTCCAGGGCCCAATCCGCTGTCTTACCTTATCATCAATATATGAGAACACTGCTCTCCTATTCCTGCCCACAAACGATGGGAGTCCTAAATACCTCCCAAAATTCGGAGCCTGAACCACTCCCAATATACTGGCAACCTCCTCTCTATGCTCATCCCGCGTATTCTTACTATAGCAAATACTTGACTTATAGTAATTCACTGCTTGCCCAGACATTTCCACATACACCGATAAACACTGTTTCACCACATTGGCTTCCTGCGCAGTTGCTCTAAAAAAGAGCAAGCTATCATCTGCAAAAAATAAGTGAGATATAGGGGGGGCTCCCCTAGCTACTCTGCACCCGTGTAGATCTCCTCTCAATTGTGCCTGCTGTAGTAACAAAGTCCCTCAGCACAAATAATAAAGAGATAAGGTGACAGTGGGTCACCCTGCCTTAATCCACGAGTCGGGACGATCTGGTCACTTCGTGTTCCACTAACCAGTATACTATATGAAATTGAGGTCACACACAGCATTATCAAATCCACCCACCTTTCATCAAAGCCCAACGCTAACATCATACCACGCAGGAAGGGCCACTCCACTCGGTCATAGGCTTTAGCCATATCCAGTTTCAAAGCCCCCCACCCTGTGACTCCACATTGTTTTCTATTCAAAAAATGTCCTACCTCAGCAGCAATCAAAATATTATCCGTTATTAGCCTGTCAGAAATAAAAGCACTTTGGGTGTCAGATATAATATCCCCCATAAGCGGTTTCATCCTGGCAGTTATAACCTTAGCCATAATCCTGTACACCACGTTACTCAGAGCTATCGGTCTATAATCCGAGACCATCTCAGGGGTATTTTTCTTTGGGATCAATATTATATTTGTATCATTCAGGCAAGTTGGAAACGAGCGAGTATTAAGACAATTCATAATATAGGCCGATACATCACCACCCACTATATCCCAAAAATGCTGGTAGAAGCCCGGATTCATTCCATCCGGTCCTGGTGCTTTGTCAGGAAACATTGAAAATAAAGCACTCTTTACCTCACTAGCATCAAAAGGCCGCAAGAGCAACTCATTCTGTACTTGTGATACCCAAGAGGCTATATTTCCAAAGAATTCCCCACTATCTCTTGGGGAATCGGAGGTAAAGATAGTCTTATAATAGTCATAGATAACGTTCCTCATGGCTTCACCCTCCACCCAATTCCCACTACCATTCATAATTTTTAAAATAGTATTCTTTTTCTTGCGATGAGATGCATACCTGTGGTAGTATTTCGTGCTAGCATCCGCGTTCTTTAGCCAATGCTGCTTGGCTCTCTGCCTCCAGTATGTGTCCTCCTGGGCCTCAATACGACATAGGCACTCCTCCAAACGTTGGAACTCAGCCAATGAGACCGGATCATTACACCCCCTCAGACGCAACTGTTCATTCCGCAGGTTTCTGATCCGCTCACCAAACTTATGAAAATGCTCTCCTCCCCAACACGATAAACGATGTCCACAAATAGAGATACATTCCTGCAACCCTCTTCCTGCGCCATCGGTCCATGCCTTCTCCACCACATCCCTACATCATTCATCATGCAGCCATGCCATCTCAAAACGAAACCCTCTTCTCAGACCACCCGTCCTTTCCCGAAGATTCAGAATCCCAAGGAAAAGAGCAGAATGATCGGACTTTCGGGTTAATATATTTTGCACACTAGCATCCGGCACAATCTCCCGCCATCTTTGGCTAGTCAAGACCTTGTCTAACCTTTCCTCTATCCAATTCGGTGTGCCTTTTCCTTTTTCCCAGGTAAACGGATATCCCATCATTGGCATCTGCGCTAATCCACATTCCTCTATAGTCTCACCGAATCCATGCAATAAACTCAGAGGATGAGGGTTCCCCCCCCCCCCCCCCCCCCCCCCCCCCCCCGCTTCTCAGATTGATAAAGTAAATCATTAAAGTCTCCAATCATCACCCATGGTAGATTTGATCTGCCAGCTAAGGTACGAATAAGATTCCACGAGTCTCTCCTCTGACCCCTCTGCGAAAAGCCATAAAATCCAGTCATTCTCCACTTCTCAAACCCCGGCATAGTCACCTCAACATCCACATAGTTTGCGGAATAACTAATCAATGTCGCTGTATTATTTTCTCTCCACAACAAAGCCAATCCACCACTCAAACCAGAACTGTCAATACAAAAAAGTCCATCAAAACCAAGTTTAACCCGAAGACGCTCCGCATGATCACGGTAAACCTTGGTTTCTATGAGAAATACAAAGTCGGGTTTCTTGGAGGACACCATGTCCTCAATCACGCGAACTGTCTGTGGATTACCCAAGCCACGACAGTTCCAACTTAAGGTACTCATTGGGACCGGCGGACCTGATCCACAGGTCCCGCCATCAAAGAATCAGAATCAACAACCATGTCCCCATTCAAAACACTCACCTCCCCAATTTCCGTCCTCCTTCTTTTCGGATCAACCCGAACCCCCACCCCCTCACCGCCAACGCCCTCACTGCCCAACCCACCCACACCGCCAATATCCGAACCCACCCGAGCCGTAGGTTGAGACACCTCCACCCGAGTTTGTTCACTCCTTCCAACCCCAACTCCCACCGCCATTCCCCCTCTCCCACTCCCATAGCCAATCTCACGCCTCCTCTCTTGGCCTAGTTGAAACCATTTTTCCCCCAACACCTTGGCCGAATTTGTACCCCCCGCCCTCATCGACGCCCCAAACGGATATTGTTCCGGTCTCAACAACGAACGGCGAGCTTGTAAGCAAAATTTGTCACAATTTATATATTTATTGCTCACAATTTACATACTAAATGTTCACAATTTACCTATTATAAAATTGTGAACATTCAATATATAAATTGTGTATTTTGAACCGAGATTTACTTTGCAAAGTAGACCCGGATCCACACAATAATTTGTCCTTAAATTGTCCGAAATTAGGACAGAAAAGTTCTGTCTAAATTATGATTTAACCTGGACGATTCAAATGTTATAAATTATAGCATTTCTTTACTCGAATATCCCAACACCAAATCATTTATCAATTTATTTAACAAATTAAAATCAACTCACTTACAATTTTCCTCAAGCTCATTGTGCTAAAATAATTACCTCAGGACTAGAAATTCTTATCCATCATCTAATGTTGAGTTAATGTCCTCCGGACTTCTCTGAATATAGTGATTTTATCAAATTTAATCATAAACTTTCAATTAAGCTAACCACCCGTAATCCTTCTACTTCAAATTTTAACCAGTCATAGGGTGTGTTTGGTTGGTGGGTTTTGCACATAGGAATGGGTATGAAAGTGATTGTTGTTGTTTGGTTGATAGGTTTTTAGAACCCTACTATGGGTTTCGAATACCCCATCAATTGAAAAACTCATACCCAAATAAAATAAGGGTTTCATTCCCTTATTCATTCTCAAGCACTACTATTAGTAACCATTCTCATTCCACCCTACTACCAAACATGTTAAATACCTTCATCAAAACCCATTACCATTACCAAGTATTTGATACCCATTCCAATTCTAATTCCTATGTGCGAACCAAACACACCCATAGTTCTTCTGTTAGTTTTAGCCGTGTAAAAAAAGGGCTAAGTCGCCTTTTAGAAGGATCAAGGGATCACAGCTAGTTAACATTTGAAAAGTTGAAAAATCACAACTAGTTAAAATTTAAAAGTTGAAGGATCATATATGGTTAACTTGAAAGTTGAAGAACCACGAATCATTAATTTGAAAGTTTAAACTAAATGTCGTAACAAAATTACTATCTTCGAAAAACCCTAAATGACAATAACTCATCTAATATTATATTGGATTATTTAATTACCTACTTTGCAACTTCAAATAGTCACATAAACATTAATCACATTTAGGGTGTGTTTGGTTGGTGGGTTTTGTCCATAGAAATGGATATGAAAGTGATTGTTGTTGTTTGGTTAATAGGTTTTCAGAACACTACTATGGGTTTCGAATACCCCATCAATTGAAAAACCCATACTCAAATACAAAAAGGGTTTCATTCCCTTATTCATTCTCAAGCACTACTATTAGTAATCATTCCCATTCCACCCTACTACCAAACATATTAAATACTTTCACCAAAATCCATTACCATTACCAAGTATCTGATACCCATTCCGATTCCGATTCCTATGTGCGAACCAAACACACCTTATAAAACTCATAAGATCACAAACATTAATCACATTTATAAAACTCATTAAGATTAAAAGTGGAAGTAACCCTATCACAGTATCACCTGCACAAAGTAACAAATCTATATTGCTCAATCACAATAACAATAGAAACTAAACTTTTATTATTGGTATGCCAAACTGCATTCAAACATACATATAACATATATTATATGCATATATATACACTCTCTTGAAAAGAATGATTTACAGACTGATATATAATCAGTGTGATCTCCTCTAAGCCTCTCAGCTCCAAACTACATTAAAAACCGCCAAGATTGGCTCCTTTTAAGGTTCACAAAGAATGCAACTGCAGAACTGTGTTGTCAAATGATGTTGGAACACTAACAATGATGTCTATCCTCGATCAAATCACGTCAAGCACATAAAACAGATCAAGACAACAAAATTATGTTCTTTTCATGCATAAGATTCGAGCAGAGGCGTTCTCGGATCTTCCCCAGATCTACCACTGATATAGAAGTACAATACTAACTGTATAATCCCGAGAACTGCTCCAATCCCATTCGGTACCTGGTTATACATGGGGGGAAAATGTCTATTATATGGTGTTAAAAACCGGGGAAAAACGCTTTTTTGCTGGTTCGTGATGATTGATTGTAGAGGGGAAGAAGTGGTAAGAAAACCGCACTTGAAATATAAACTACTTACAGAAATGAAGAGATCATACAGGAGCAATCCATAGGCGAAGAACGAGAGACTCATCAAGAAAGTTGCGAGCGAGAGATAAAATGGCATGTATTCGACACTTCTCGTCTTGATCACCAAGTTCTACACAAACAAACAAAAAACGTTTAACAAAAGTGAGCCTCGAGATTCGAGAAAAGAAGCCAAATTAAGGAAAAAGGTGCTTGTGGGTTGGGTGAACTTACAATAATGAATAGCGGAGAAGCAAACATGGAAATGAGGGAAAGGACAGACAAATATCCGACGAAAATCTGTCGAGTGGGAGGCTGAAACGCAAATATGCTGACAGAAACTATGACGGCAAACACAGCGAAAACGCCTAGCAACCACCCCAAAGTTTTCAACTGCACGAAAGACACTATCAGTGTCAGTTTTATTGAATTAAATACCTTGAGAAGCCATTATATATGGTTCACCTTTTTCGTTCTCTCTGCATATACGATGAAGATGGTGATATATGCCAACTGGAAAACTCCTCCAAATGAATTGACAGTGAAAACCAGTATGATACCAGGAGTGACGATAGGGGTGGCATACCAGAGGCATATTAAGCAATTCAAGAGGCCATATATATATGGCAATTCAGAAAACTGTTCTGTTGATTGGCTTCTAATAATTCTCCTGAATGTGGGTCTGAAACAACACATCCCAATATCCCATCAATCCACACACAAACATATATTGACTAACAAGTAACAATTCTACCTTCTCTTCAAGGTTAGTTAACTTACATTGGAGATACAAACAACACAAAGGCAAAGACATTCCCTGCAATTGGTCAAACAAACCAAAAAATCCCGATTTAAATCACATATATTAACATGGAAAAAGAGAACCCATCCCACATAGCTGTTGTATATCAAGAACAGCATCAATCTGTTTAACTTTTAACCCGTTTGGTTGCAAGGAGAGAATTAGGGGGGAAAGGAATAAAGTAGGAATAAAATTTCATTGTTAGGTAGACAGGAATAGAATTACGGGAAATTTCAATTATAATGTTCGATATATATAGAAATTGAAATGGAATAAGTAGTATAAAGATCAAAATGCCCGTGTAATTGCAATTCCTATGGACGATTATTAGGGATGGCAATTCCTCTCTACTGAACATGCTTAGTGCAATTCATCCAGACATTTTCACAAAGAACAGAGAAGAATGCCTAAAAGATTCAACATTTACCCAGAAGTGATCCAAAAAAGAAACTGTTTTTTTAAGCTGTGATCCACATTATGAATGTTCCATCTCAACTCTCAAGAGACCATTCCATTATACAGCATAATTCAGTTCAGATATATTAAAGGAAATCTTTGAAATTAAGTAGACTTATTATTTATCCCAAGAATCTCAACTCACAACACAGTTATTAAGGGAACCAATAAAAGGACATACACTTTTTAAGGAACTAACAACACAGTTATACATATACCTTAAAGTCCCCAAATTTACTAGCTTTAACCACAGAATCTGTAGGCACAGTTTAAATTGATTCTGTTCCACTGCCCAATTCTTCATACAAGACATAATACTACTTACCCTTCTCATATATAAAGACAATTTTTCCAAGAAAGCTCAAATTTAACCCAGAAAGGCATTGATACCTGCAACTCCAGCCGCAAAACTACAAATTGAGTAGACTGAAGACAAAGCCAGTGGAGACATTGTTGGACCCAAGCTGTTAAAAGTTCACCCACCACAGGAACGGCTTCTCCTTGGTGGCTGTGAGAGAGAAAGAGTTGAATTCTCTACATAGATATTTTTAAGCTCTCTCAGGGTGCATGAAATTTTGGGTCTTTAGCTGGGAGCCGGACAGCCTGTTGCTTGGATCTTGGGTGGGAGTATGGGACCCAATCGCATCAAAATGAAAATCTTTTAATTTTTAAAACGTGACTCGTTAAATATAGTACTCCCTCACTATCATTTTCGCCATGTTTGGTAAATAGCTGCTAGTTGTCAGCTGATTGAGTTAATTAGAAGGTATAACTAGTTGATAACATTAGTTGATTGTAGGAAAATATTTGGTAAATTAGTTGTTAGCTGATAGCTATTTGGTATAATTTTTTTTCTCAAAAAAGCTAATTGAAAATTTTTGACTTTTAGCATTTTGAAGTTACAAAAAGCTAATTAATCAAACATTTATATTGATTTTTTAATCAAGTCAAACAATTAATAGTGATCAAATAAGTCAAAATTGACTGATAGGCTAATTATTTTACCAAACAGGGCCTTTATGTATTTGATTTGGTGAACAAGGCTTAGACTAAAGTTATTTTTAATTCAATTTTTCATAATATTAAGTTTAGTATTAATATATAAAATTTATATATTTAGAAATTACATTAAAATATAAACACAAAAAATTAAATTTAAAAATTAGTAAAATATAATAAAGAAAATATACAAAAAAAAAAAAAAAAGGAGAGTTAATTAGATCAATGAATAGTATGAATGACAAATAAAATGAAACAGATGAAGTAATAAATAATGCCAGTTGCCTAGTTGAGTCAAATTTGTATTATGGAGTACTAAATATTGTGTTCTATATTTTGGTTTTATTTAATTAGTTTATAATTAAATTACTCAATTTATAATAAAACAATTTTAATTTCTTTGAGTACATATGACATTTTATTTGTTTAATTTGTTTGAGATGAAGAAATCTGATTTGTACGTTATTTGTCAAATTAAAGTTTTTAATTCGACAGTCAACTAATTGAAAAACATTTGTTTTCAAAATAAAATTGAAAAACATTTCATTAGACAAAATTTACAGCATCAGTACTTGAAGTTGAAGAAAATCTTACAATACTTTTATGCTAAAATGCCTTTTTAAATATTTTTTAGAGAAAAATATTTAATTATATCAATTGAGTTAAAAAAGAATAGCATTTGATAAAAAGAGTAATGGTATATTCCTTTACAAAAATTGCTCACTAATATTTGTTACATGACAAACTTGTTACTTTTTTATTATTATTCTTTCTGTTCTATTTTACATATCGTACTTACTATTTATTAGTTAAATCAATTCTTCTTCTTCCTTTTTTTTTTACTAATTTTGTTTAATATTATTTAATAATTTTTAAATTTAATTTTTTTAATATTTAATAGCACTTTTAATATAATTTTTAAATATGTAAATTTTATACACTAACAGTAAACTAAATATTGAAAAATAAATTTGGATTATAAATACCTTGGGTTAAGCCCTGTAAATTGCACTACACGTAAAATGAAACAGATGGAGTATTACGTAAATTATTTATCAATCTATGGTGAGAATAGTCAATTCACAAGTAGGAATAATCAGTGGGAATATTTCTTTTAAAGACTTTTTTTTTTTTTAAATATTGTCACCACAAGGAGTGAAATAATAAAAATGCATTTTTGATAAAATAAAATAGAGTTTATTACTGAAATGGTCCCTCGACTATTACGAAATTATCAATTTGGTTCTCGATAATTTTTCGTGTCCAATTAAGTCATCGACTTTGAAAATGTTAATCATTTTAGTTATCCGTTTGCTTTGCTGTTAAAGATCTGTTAACTCGGGACCAAACTGGTAATTTTTGCTGTAGTCAAGGGACCATTTCAGTAATTAACTTTCAGAAAAAATGGTGCATGTGATGACCAAAATGGTCCCTTGACTATAGCAAAATTATCCGTTAACGGATGTCTAACGAAAAAATAAATGAAATATCAAATTAGTTAATATTTTTAAAGTCGATGACTTAATTGGACACGAAAATTATCGAGGATTAAATTAATAATTTTATAATAGTCGAGGAACTAGTAATAAATTCAATACAATATTATAGTAAAAAGCAGGGTAAGAAGTTTCGTAGAAGGACAAGATATTTGAAATGAAATAATGTGCAACACATGTTCCTAATACAAATACACCTAAAGTTGTGGTTAGCATTACTGCATGACTTGACAGCTTGGGAATCATAGAATGAGTATCATATCGCACAACCAATCATGTATTGCTAAATTGACCAATAATTTGTTGTCGAGTTAATGCCACATGGGATCTTTCGAATATGATTATTTTGTTACGTTTAGTTTTAAAATTTTAAAATGACCATCCGTAATTCTTTGACTTTCAAATTATTGCCATCCATGATTCAAGTTTACCTCTCATATATGATCCTCAACTTTCAAAATTTGACCAGTTGTGGTCCTCTTGAAAGGACCATAGACAGTTAAAATTTGATAATTGAAGGATTGTGTGGGGTTAACTTGTATCCCGGATGGTAATAATTTAAAAATAAAAAAATTACAAGTGGTTAATTTGAAAATTTAGAACTAAACATGGTAAAACAATTAAAAGAGCATTGATGGTATTAACTCCTTGCTGTCACAAACACCATTAACTGTACACCTACCAACTAACAACAATATAGGATTTAAGGATTGGTCATTAATTGGTCTCTCTTTTTCTTTTTCCTTTTTGTTAAATCTCATGGTCCATGACAAAAGGATGGTTTGAGTATAATTGTCTTTTCGGCACTTTGGCCTTAATTGCTGTGGGTTCCTTCTTGGTTCTTTTAGCACAAAAGCAAACGGCCAAACACTCCATCAACTCACCACACATCAATCGAATCAGGTCTCAATTGCACATTAACAGACCGTTTGATTACACGGAGAAAATTAAGAGGGAAAATGAATTGTAATTGTGCTAGAAAGAAATAAGGTAGAAATAAAGTATGAATTCAAATTTCATTATTATTTGGTAGGAAAAAAAAAAAATTACTGATAATTTCTAATACAATGTTTGGTATGTATGAGAATTAAAAGGGAATAAGTAGAATAAAGACCAAAGTATAGATGTAAGATTATTAGGGAGGCAATTTGGTCCTCACACTCTAAAATTCTGAAATTGTAATTTCATAGAACTGCAATTCTTCCCAACAAAATTCTGAAATTTTTCGTTTCTTGAAATTAAATAGGAAAGGAATTGCAAATTCTTTTTACCAAACATGCCATTAAGTTGGTTTATTAGTGTAATTTGACTTAATAGTCCTAATTATATATTGCTTCGAAATTTCTTAAGTAATCGATGTAGGACGTATAAATTATAGTTATAGAATTTTGACATTGTATTTAAAAAATAAAAAAATCACCTACAAAAAAACTACTTAAGTATATATTTAACGCCTAAGTATTTAATCCATATATAAATTATATTCTTAAGTATTTTAGTTCTTTCTTATTGCGTTGATACATCAATTTGTTGTTTACAGTTTCGATGACATGTTGAAATCATGACCAAATGTCAACTAAAATATGCTCCTGTTTCTAATTACCCAGTTATTATTCGATGATAAATTCTATTCTTGTATAATAATTTATAAATTAAAAAAAAAAAAAAAAACTGTACTAGAAAGATTATATAATCTTGTGTTTTGTTATAAGATGTGTAGGGCGGCGGCGCACGCAAATGGATTGCTGGCTGACCTTTAGATTTGGTTCTTTGGTTTTTCCTTTCTGATAGTGGAACTGAAGAGATAATTATGTAATTAGAGATTGATTCTTGCAAGTCACCTTCACATAGCTTCTGTCCCAAGATACTCAATAGTCTTCCCATGAGATGTGCCTGAAGAAAAGCAAAGAAACACTACCAACATAATTTATTAAACATATAAAAGTAATTTAATATTGCAATCATTAAATTAAATTTACTCAAACCGACCATGCAATTTGGCTCATTTAAATAATCATTGACTTTTTTCCAATCACTACAAGAAAAATGCACATAGACAACGGTTAATAACCGTTGTCGTAGGGGTATAATTTCTGTTGTTGAAGCCGGTGTTGTAAGTCTTGCGCATAGACAACGGTTTTTTAACCGTTGTCTTTTCTAGAAACAACAACGGTTTTTTAACTGTTGTCTATTAAGTGTTGTTGAAGCCGGTGTTGTTGTAAGTCACGCACATAGACAACGGTTAATAACCGTTGTCTTTTCTAGAAACAACAACGGTTTTTTAACCGTTGTCTATTAAGTGTTGTTGAAGCCGGTGTTGTTGTATGTCATGCACATAGACAACGGTTAATAACCGTTGTCTTTTCTAGAAACAACAACGGTTTTTCAACCGTTGTCTATTAAGTGTTGTTGAAACTGGTGTTGTTGTAAGTCACGCACATAGACAACGGTTAATAACCGTTGTCTTTTCTAGAAACAACAACGGTTTTTTAACCGTTGTCTATTAAGTGTTGTTGAAGCCGGTGTTGTATGTCACGCACATAGACAACGGTTAATAACCGTTGTCTTTTCTAGAAACGACAACGGTTTTTAAACCATTGTCTATTAAGTGTTGTTAAAGCCGGTGTTGTTAAAAGTCACGAACATAGACAACGGTTTTAAACGCGCGCCCGTTAACTCATAACAGAAAATTCATAATTTGATCAAACGCGCGCCCGTTAACTCCACATCTGCGAAATTTTTTTTTTTGCCTAAAAACGACATCGTTTTGCCTTGTGTTCACCATTCTCGGTGAACACGATTCCATGGCATAATTTGCACGCATGCACTAATATGTTAATTATTTGAATAATTAAGCTTAATGACCAGGACTATGTGGTCTAATGGTATCCGGGTTGGGTTTCCATTTGGAAGGTTATAAGTTCGAGCCTTAGTAGAAGCGTTAATGGTTCTTTGTGTTTCAGTAGGTTGAGAAAGTATATGAACAGATACTACATTGTAATAGAGCCAGTAGCATTCAAAAAAAAGCTTAATGGGCTAATGGCTATGATTAAATATTTTGGGCTTGGGCTAATGGCTATGATTAAATATTTTGGGCTATTAAGATTGTACAAAGTAATAAGAGATGGGCTTGGTTATTGCTTTATTTAGTTGGCCCAACAAAGTTTGTTTGCTAATTTAATATATTATGAAGCCCAAGCTCAATGTACTTAGGGGGCGTTTGGTTCAGGTATTCTTATATTACCTAAGTAATATCTACTATCTACTTCTACTATCTACTATATATATACTAATAAGAACCCAAGAGAGTTAGGCCTATAATGGGAAGAAAAAATGGCGGTCACAGATTTTAATCAAATGAATGGCTCATATTAATTAAAAGATTGATAAGATTTAAATTTTACACTAAAATTTCCTAAAATACCCACACACCGTTACTAATTCCGTTAAAATTTTAAGAATTGCCGTTAGTTCACCGTTAACTTACTCATTGATTTCAAAAAAAAAAAAAAGGTCTTAGGTTCGAACCTCATCCCAATCAAAGTTGGCATAATTAGTACTTTATTTTACTCTTATTAAATTATATATTATATAAATAATAATTTAGTAGCTACAACAAAAAATTATAGATATGCATTTCTTTAATTTAGAATTATGTGTCCACAATGCCTTTATTCAAAAAAAAAATTATTCATTATCAATAAATTAAATAAGAGAAATAATTGTATTAGTTATATTGTCTTTATTTTTCTACAATATAAAAATTCTTTATATTCAAATTTATTAATTGATTATGTTCGCTACATTGTCCTTACAATGTCTTAATTCAGTGAAAAAAAAATTATTCATTATCAATAAGTTAATTAAGAGAAATATTTTCATTAGTTATATTGTCTATATTTTTCTCAAATGTAAAAATTTTTACATTCAAATTCATCAATTGATTATATTCTACATTGTCTATTATCTTTTTTGTGCACTATTTTTCTAATTAAATTTCAAAGTTATAATACAAAATAATGCTATATATTTATCTACGAAGTATTTTATTAATACCATGAAAAAATTAAAAAATATATAATTAATAAAGCCAACCATATTAACTACTTGAGAGATTTTCTGACAAAGAGAGTATTCAAATCACACAACAAATTGAAGTGAGAACTACCTTGCAATGTCCTTGTTTGACAATTCGCAGTTAGCGGATTATATTAGCGGATTTGACCAACGAATTTATTTAATTATTAACATTGGGTAGAAAAAATGACTGCCAAATTATTAAATCAAATGAATGGTTCAAATTGTTCAAGTTTTAATTTTTTTTAAAGTTTTTCTAATTTATCCTTAATTATATGATTATCCATTTAACTTTTCCGTTAAATACCGTTAATTCACCGTTAGTCTAATTCTAATATTAACGTCTAATATAGAATTATAATTACACCATTAATCTAATTCTAATATTAAAGTCTTAATAGAACTTAACCACAAATCCTAATGTCGAAATCTCCTCAAACAATATTAGTATATATTTAATATTTTATGCCCTAATTTTTATTTGTTCTCCCTTATGTCCCGTATTTGGTTTCAACCATACCTATACAATTATTTTATTGACAATTATAATCAATCTTGACTATATTATCTTGCATTTGTAAACTTAGAAATTACCTATTTAACCCGCACGGGCTTAGTTCAATGGTTTAGTGGGCAGTATTTGGGAGAAGAGACCAAGGTTTGAACCTCGGCGGCGGCAGTGCGGGAATTATGTCCAAAGTGGGTAGATTCCTTGTTCGCACCGGCATTTGGTCCTGTCTGCTGAACCATTGAGTCACCGTGATTTACAACTTCCCACAATGCTCTGTCGGGTCGGAGTGTGGGGGCCCTTGGGCTTGGGGACTCAACCTTTGGGAGAAGAATTACCTATTTAAATATGCAAATTCTTAATTCTTAATATATTTTAAAGTACTTATTTAAAAAAAAAAAAACATTGGGCATTATCCCAATCGCGCAATGCGCGTAAAAAACTAGTTATAAGAATAAGAGCCAAATAAGTCATTCAAATATACATCAAACTGCAATTGGATCATCAAATTTTAAAAAATTGCAATTGAATCTCTCGAACAATGCAAATTCATGCAATTCAATCTACGATGACCTGTTGACCTGTTATATGCTGACATGACGGTTATCGATTTTTTTTTTTTTTACATTTTATTTTAATAAATTTAAATAAAATAATTATATTAAAAAAAATCCACCCCACCCCTACTTCCATCTACGGCCAGAGACCAAGGTCTCAATCTTTCCAAGAGATCAAATGCTAGCTGATCCTTCGTTCTTGTTTAGTGTAAGGATATATAGAGATGTTTGGTAAATAGATTCAGATAATGTCTTTAATTAGTTGATAGCATTAGTTCATTGTAGAAAGATATTTTGTAAATTAGCTGTTACCTAATAGCTGATTACATGTAAAATGATTTTCTCAAAAAGTTGCTTTGAGAAACTTTTTTAATTTTAGTGTTTTGGAGCAATAAACTATTACGAAAAATTAATTAATCAAACACTTATATTAGCGGTTTAACCAAGTCAAATTGCTAATAGTGGTCAAATAAGTCAAAATTGACTGATAAACTAACTATGTTACTAAACATGGTCATAATATGTAGTGACTTGTGCTAAGATGGCATGTAGTG